AGATCCAGAGACAAATGATAGGGGTGGGGGGGTTAGAGAGCAACCAAAGGACTTGTATGCATGCATATTAGCATATCCAATGGACACAGGCACTGAGGTGGTGGGGGCTTGCCTGGGGTGGGAATGGCTGGGGGGAAGGGTCAATTGGGGAAAAAGAAGACAAATGTAAAACTTCAGACAATAATAAATAAACAAACAAACAAATAAATAAAAGAAGCTCTAAGGAATGACACCTTTTCCTCTACCATCATTTATGGTAAACTAGAGGGAGGCCTGGTGCACGAATTCGTGCACCAGTGGGGTCCCTCAGCCTGGCCTGCAGGATCCGGCCGAAACCAGCTCTCCAACATCCCCTGAGGGGTCCCGGATTGCAAGAGGGCCCAGGCAAGGCTGAAGGACTCCACTGGTGCATGATAAGGGCTGGGGAGAGACTGGGAGAGGGCTCCAGGGCATGTCCGGCCCATCTTGCTCAGTCCCAATCGGCCAGACCCCAGCAGCAAGCTAACCTACCAGTTGTAGCATCTGCCCCCATGGTGGTCAGTGCACGTCATAGGAAGCGGTTGAGCGGCCTTAGCATATCATTAGCATATTACACTTTGGTTAAACAGCTGACCGGTCGACCAGATGACCGGACACTTAACATATTAGGCGATTATTATACAGGATGGCAGAAAAGTATCCAAAGTTCATTCTTCAAGTATTGGTGTGGAATTTCATAAAGTGTTCATTTATACATGCATTACATTCAGTAAGTCAGATTTAAGATTGCAGCGTACCGAAGGTGCCTTGTCGGTGATCAGTTCATGCCACCTCTTGTAGGGCGGTAAGTCCAGGTTGATAGTGTACCACGGCACCGGCCCCCGATAGCTGCAAGGAGAGGCGCATCATCTTGAAATGGTAAAGGCAGTTTTTTGATGGGGGTTAGAGAGTTGTATCTATATGGATATGTTAGAGATATATTCTTAATGAAAATACAGAAGTTAGACCCTGGATGGTGTTGCTCAGTGGTTGGAGCATTGGCCAGCACACCAAAGGGTCTTGGGTTTGATTCCTGGTCAAGGGCACATACCTGGGTTGCACATTTGATCCTTGGCTCTAGTTGGGACGTGTGTGGAGGCAACCAATCAATGTGTCTCTCTCACATCTCTCTTTCTCTCCCCCCGACCCCCGACTATCCTCCCTTCCTCCCTTCCACTCTCTCTAAAAAATTAATGGGAAAAATATCCTCAGGTGAGGATTAATAACAACAAAATATACAGAGAAAGTAGTTCTCAAAATTTGCAAATGCGAATTTTCTGGTGCTTCTGTCCTACACTGTATAGAATCATAAGTAGTTTCAGAAATCTTAGACTAGAATTATACATTCTGGAATGTTAATGTGAACTGTGGATATGGGAATGAATCAATGTTGGTTCTAGTTCTGTGTAACCTGAATATAACCGCTAGAAAATACCTGCCCCGGCTTTCCCTCTGAAGTCTCTGCAAAGTTTAGTCTAAGCCTGGGAACCTCTCTAACTGGTCTTCTCAGTCACATTGCCTCTTACACAGTCTAACACTTTGGCCAAATCATTGTTGGCTTCAGTAAGGTCGTCTTTCAAAACCCCAGAGTGTCAACATGTATTAGTTTCCCATGATAGCTTCTAAAACCTTTGCTATTCACTCACTACCTTCTTCTTCCTACTATACTTCCCTCTTCTCATTCCTCTGCGGTAAATCCAAGCCCAAGCATTGTGGGATCACCCCGTCCCCCAACTCCCTACCCATCAATTTACACACAGCAATTTCTGCGGAGGACACAGCAACATCTTTCTCCCTCATCAATGGGCCTGGGCCATATTTCTTTCTGGTGGATGAACTCAACAACTACTCTCTGTTGCTATGGAAACATTATCTTCTGGCACTTGTTACAAAACTGAAATAGCCCCTATGGGTGTGCCATTCGGTGATTTGTCAGCTTAAAACTCTGCCTGAAAATAGCCAGCATTTGCCCCATTAGTGCTGTGCTCTGGGAGGCATAAGGATTACTCTAGGACAGCGGTCGCCAATCTTTTGGACCTCATGGACCACCAGTGATCTGCGGACCAACAGTTGGCGACTATTGCTCTAGATACATAACAATGTTCCCAGGCTGTTAAAGTAAAACGTGACCTATACTTACATCTACGGCAGAGACGGGTTAGTTCCTAAGTCATGAGTTGTGCTCCTAGTTACATTTGTGTTGTCACGAGTTAACTATTTGATTTTCTAACATGCTGCTAAGCTCGGGGCCTGGGGATATGTGTGAGGTTTTATGAAACTGAACCAGCAGCTGCTGGTCGTATGATTCGGATAGACAACGAGAGCACCCTTGATTCTGGAAACAGACTTTCAAACAAAATCAATACATTTGTTCTTTTCAAAGCAGTCTCAAAATCCCATTTCCTTAGGAAGGAATCTGGCAGAAATACCAGTGCAAAAATATTTATATTATGTATGTGTGTGTGTAATTATAAGAAAACGGTGTTTATCTGGATATGTGTGAATACACATGTATAAACACACACTCACACAATGGGCAATTTGGAACCAGTTAAAAGCAGGGAGGTTGGCCGGGCAATCAATTCATAGACCCAAATAAGGTGCGCAAAGAGAGTAGAAAAAAAGCCTTGAACGTGGAAAGTTACTCATTAAATGGCCAACGAATTGGGGCAGTGAGACCAGCCAAGTGAGGCACAGTCAACAAGGTACCGAGGACGAACATGCTGTTAGTGACGAGAGACAGAAAGGAGATTTTGGGGAGAGCAAACCCGAGGAGGGCTGGACCCTGTGCCGGCTTTGGACTAACATGGAAACTGATTGGTTCTAAACTACTTCCTGCCAAAGATGCGCCTCCTTCTACAGAAAGGCCAGTAAAGAAAAAGAATTTAGTGTAGTACAGTTTCATCGTACCTGGAACAGAGGCTATGTAGGCAAGTGCAGCAGAAAATGTGTAATTAGAGGCTACAAAACCCGAAAAGTCATCTTGCTATACTGGTTAAAGTTTTACTCGACCTCCCCCCTTTGCCCCGCCGCCCCCCTCCGCCCCGGCCTCCGGCCCCGCAGGCAACTTTCATTGAGCAGAAAGAGCAGGGCAAACAAGGTTACGTGCCTTATACCTTTCCCTTCTTTCCCACACACCCTGGTACCCTTTGGGCTGGTGAGCTAGTCTCATGTCTTTCTCATAGACCCATGTAGCCAGCTACAAAGGACCTGAAAGGCCACCCATATATCTAGACCACAAATATGAACGCTAAATACACTAAATATTGGCCGTACCTTTAGATTTTCCAATCCTGTTTTTCCCTTGATAGATTTGTTTACCATGCCAGGGTTTATTGCTGGAATGTTTCACCTGTAAGACCCTACACTATTTTGTCCCAATATAATCTGGTAGTTTATACTCAGGCACCACAGAAAATCCCAGGTCAGCTCTGCATTTGTGAGGATGAGTAAAATGCCTAGTGGCAGGTAGAAGAATTTAGTGAAGAATGGAAATCTTCACGCCCTCCCACCCTTGTCCTCTGTGATTTTGAGAGGCTAGAAATGAGCATTTTAATCATGAGGTATTTCCATGTTTGACCAGGGTCTTAGTCAAATGCATAATACACAAACTTGAGGAAAAAAATATTTGTCTTTCTTAGGATAAAGGACATGACTTAAATTTTTTCACTGCCATTATTTTTATGAGATCATTACACAGGGAAATGTGTTTTGATCATCTCACGTTTTGATATTTACTCACGTTGGTCCAGAAGGAGGGTAAGTTGATTTTCTGCAGTCTTCTGTCCACTAAAAAACAAAGAAAATGTACAATTTCAGAAAATAACAAATTGAACAGGCAATTTGCAATAACTGTTAAAGTTTATGAAGACAAAATCAAGTATGGTTTGCCCTTTTAGACCATTTCAATGCCTCTTAATAGTCTTTTCCTCCTACAAAAACTTGGAAAATCTCAAACCTACAGGCAATTTGCAATAACTGTTAAAGTTTATGAAGACAAAATCAAGTATGGTTTGCCCTTTAGACCATTTCAATGCCTCTTAATAGTCTTTTCCTCCTACAAAAACTTGGAAAATCTCAAACCTAAGTGTACATTCCATCTCAATTCCATCTGCTCTAGTGCCAGGTGTGGTAATGTGGCATTTGTATTGCAAATATATCATATCATGCTGGGAAATGTATGTCAAATAGGTTGATTTATCACTAAGTTATTTGCTAGAATGTGATGTTACTTGAATTTATGAGCCAGCTCTATTGCAATCAAGATTTGCATCCCAAACCAGATTTTCAGGGCACACTGTCCAGGGCCCTTCATAACCTGGTCATAATTTACCCTCCCAGCCTCTCTTCCTGCCACTCCCCTTTACGCGTAGCCACGTGCAACCACGTCCCTATGATATCTCGCCCTTCCATGCCTATACAGGCGCTGTGCCCTCTGCCTACAATGCCTGTTCTCTACTGGGGGAACTTCTGGCTTTACCACCTGAGATCCAGTTCAAATACTGACTTGTATGTGTGTGTGTGTGTGTGACGTTATCATCTACTTTCCATATGAAAATAGTTATCCCTCCTGTGTACTCCCACAGCATTTGCACTCAGCCCCATTACCATAGTTTAGCATTGCATTATAATTATGTTTATCTCTCTTCACTACTAAACATGTGCACCTGGAGGTGACGGCCCCGAAACACTGAGGCCACTGCTGAGGCAATGAATGAATGAGACTTAAGGAAGAGTGTTCAAACTCAGTAGTAAAACAGAATTGGCTCTTAACAACACGAACAAAAAATACCACATGGATTTAAGATTCCTTAATTACTAGGTTCAAGAGAGCAGGCATGTTTATCTTTCCTCTGGAGACCCAATCTTATACAAGTAAAATAATTTAAAAAAAAAGGAGGATAAATTCACAATAAACAGGAGTAAGGAAGGAACTACTAGGTCTGCAGTTTGAGCCCAGAAGCTGCCTCTGCAGGAAACCTGTGTGAGAATGAAGCGTCTGCATCTTGTTTTAACTTCTAATAGTTGGGAAATGTATACAGTAGCTTGGCATTATCTGTGATTCTAACACTCACTGCTGTCAAAATAACTTTGCTACAGTTTCTCGTATGAGTGCTGTTTGCCTTGTAACGTTGGGTGGATTTTTATTAAGAAACAATTATCAAGTATCAATCATTAGAATTTAAATTATTTCTAAATTATTACAATATAAAAATATTTGATATTAAATATCAATTTGATAACCAATATAAACTTAGCGAAAGCTAGTTTCCAAAGCCATTCAACGTTTAATAACAGTGGCTGAAGGAGGTGCATCTTCACAAATCTTTCTCAGCCCTGAGCTTAAATATCACAGTAAGACGTTCCTGCTGCCAGCCTGCCAAATGCTGGGTGGCAGGGGAAGTTGGCATCTATTTCTTGTGAAAATTCACAGAAACGTGGTTAAGTCTATGAGAGCAAAAGAAGTTCATGGTTGACATTACCTGTTCAATAGCATGATAGATTCAAGTATTTTCTATAAGGTGTTTGCCAACAGATAATGTAATTCATAGCCACAACATTTAAACACCATTTTCACAAGCTTTATACATTTGTCCAGCTAAGCCTTTTTCTCCGTCACATATTTTTACCGCTGTCAACTGTTACACGTCACAGCAGATTCCACTTCAGGTCTCACGGAATGACTGAATTCTCAACTTCTCTGAAAACAGCTTTGCCTGCAGTTGTTTCATACAGACTAGTCATAGAGACTAATTCCTTACTCTCCAACTTGGCACTGACGCTCCAATACGTATCAATAACTGGTAACAGTCACGTCGAGAATCATTTGCTTTTGTTCTTCAATTGATATTGATGATGCTGCCAGAGTCCTGAGCAAGTGTTCTCACCCGAAGGTTCATCGTGTGAACAGGTTTTCTCAGGACACAGTTCTTACAGGCTGCCATCAAATGCGAAGTAAGCCGCCACTGGTAAACGGCTCTCCTGGCTTCGCTAACCAATGAACTACCTGGAGACGGACTTTGGCTGCCTCCTCATTTCGCTTTTAAAGTTTATAAAGGAATTCTGCTGTGATGAGATACCCTGCTTCACATTTTCTGATTTTTCTGATCACTCTATGAGTTGGGGATGCTGTGAAGACTGCTTCATCTTGTAATGCCACCTATTTGTACTCTTTTATCGCAACTCTGGTGTCATTGCACAATAAACACAGGGTTTGCCATCTAGCTCTGTAACAAGATGACTCATACTCCACTTTGCCTCAAGAGAACAACATTTTCGCTTCTTTTCTCGTTTTGACATCTTAGGTTTGCTTTGGCAATTTTTAAAAATGATTAAAATAACACGGCATATTGGTACAGGTGGCACTTACTGTTGAGTTAGAATTGCCTTACTGTCACTGAAGTGCCCTGGGCAGCAGTGAAAGGCTAGCGCAGCCACAGACAATAAGCAAACAAACAAGTGTGAAGTGCTCCAAAACAATGCCGTCTATGGTTCCTGACATGTGACTGCGTGCAATCTTTACATGTCTTGAAACAGTAATCTTCTTTTGATCCCCCCAAACTTTTTAAAAATCTGAAAATGGTCCTTAGTTCACAAGGCCTTCCAGAATGGCTGGCAGGCGGGGTCTGGTACCCCCACCC